CATTCCTTGCCCAGAGCTGTCAACTGAGAAAGAGTTGTGCCTGCATACAGCTTTAATCAGAGATAAAAATTACCCCTAGTTCATGAATATGTTTATCATGGAGATAAGTCAATGGCAGAGAATAGATTCTCAGCACACAGCTCTGCGTGTCTTGCACTAAAACATGTCATATACTGATGTGTTTTGCTCTACAAATAGCACCCTCACACTCCACTCATGGTCCAGACACAGACAGAGCCTGGGCAGAGAAAAGTCCTCCAGAAGGAAGCACAAGGAGCTTTTTCTGATGAGCTTGGAGGGCCTTAAAGCTCCTTGGGTGTCTGCTTGCTGTGGCTTGGCCACCACCTGTGAGCCCTTCATCTGGCTGCCAGGGGAGAGGTGAAGAGGGGAATTATCATTTGGTCTGATCTCAAAAGCTGTTGGGGCTCCTTCGATCATCCTCTGTGTCCTGAGGCTCCATCTCCCTCCTGGATGTGCTCCCAGCTGCTCTTGTCTGGACCCAACACTTCAGGCATGGCTCTTGACCATTAAAACCAGTAAGTCATGCTCTGTGGTGGGGTAGGGGGAAGCTGTGATGTGCTGTTTCTTGTGGGTAGTTAGGCTATGATAAAAAGGAACCTTTATTCATGAATAGAGTAATTTTTTCCCACTTCTAAATGTCTTTTTTCTTCCCAGTCTGGTAACATCACATCCCTCAGAGTACCCTAAATTAAAGAAAGCAATACCAGAACAACAACAAAAGCAGGAATGGGAATGACACAGCAGCAAACCAGAAAGCAAATGGCTGACAAGGGATATTTATATGTTGCATGGTGTTATTTTGGCTGCTCTGTTTGTCCAAATTGCCCTAGAAAACAGAGAGAGCACAAGAAGCTAAATGAAGGCTCCTTGAAGTTGGAGTTTTTCTGGATCCTGACTTGTGTGTGCACTGGGTGTGGGTGTATTTGTGTGTGTGCATTAGGAAAGAAGGAAGATTGTTATTGTGGTCTCTTTCTAGACAGGCATAAACACCCCTGTTTATTTCCAGCATGCCATCTAAATTCAAAATTAGCATAAGCTGATGCTGTTAATTGATTTATATGCATGCAGGCAGTGGTTTATCAAAGGTAGAGGGACATAAGGTCACTCCCCTAAGGGCCTCCTGGGAACAAGTATCCATCTGAGATAATATTGAGATTGGCATAGTTGGGAATATAACTGCGTCCAAGTATGAAGAAACTGAGTTCTTTGTCATTAGCAGCAAAATAATTTTCCTATTAATATTATAATTCTCCTTTTAATAAAGGCTGCTCTCATTGAGGTCTAGGAAAGTGCCCTCCAGGTCTGCTATGAAGTGGCCCAGGCTGCAGCTGCAAGGCTGGCTGCCTTCCCAGAGAAGGGAAAAGTCCTGTCCAATTTGCCATCTGAGCCAGGCTCTCGGAATTCTGCTCCTTCCAGGTCAGTGTACCTCAGCCATTGTGGAAATGCCAGAACACTTTCTCAGAGGAGGTCAGCGACGACACAGAGACAGCAGGGACCAGCAGGGACTTCTTTACTTTCTGAGGAAATTTCATTAAAATATTTTCCCTGAGCTGTACCAAGAGCAAAGCCAGAGAAGGGCCTTGGCTTGCAGGTGTAAAAGGAGGAAAAATACATCCCTTCTTGCAGTGCTGGCCCTTAGAAAGGAGGAAAGAAGAGGAGACAGTCTGAAAATGCCATGCCCAAAATCTCTCCTATTGCTATTGTTTTTTACTATCTATTTAAAAAAAAAAAAAAAACAACTTGTTTTTTTTCATGAAAATGGGTTAATCTAAACCGAACTTTTCTTTTTCCTTTGTTTTTCTCTGTTTGTTTGTTTGTTTGCCCCTCACTTTTCCTGGGTCAGTCTAGGGAATTCAGATGTGAAATCTATCTAAAAAAAGCATCTTCCACTTGTAAGCAAACCTCCCCTGCCTGGCAAATTGGGAATTTTGCCCTCTCTAGTGGGAGCTGTAGTATCTGATTGCTCTCTGACTAAGTAGGAGCTCAACAAGGCCACCTTTACACTGAACAATCCCATATATCAGAGGCGACCCCTTTGAATTCAATGGCTTTTCTGGTGCTAAGAGAGGGTATTGGAAACTTGGTCTGAAATCACACCTTGCACGTAATAAGCAGCAATGAAAAGAAAAGGAAACAGGAGGCTTATAGGATTTAAGGAGTTTCTTTTGAAGAAAGAATCCACCCTGCTGCTGATGGCCAGCCGCTCATGTGGGTGTTGAGATGTGCAAATAAAGCAGGGTATAAAGCTGTTAGCAATGGTTCACAGCAACAGACCAGCTCCTGTCAAGGAGAAGCAGGTTAGGTAAACTTTTCAGGTGTTTGGAGGTGAATCTTTTCATTTGTGCACAGCCCTTGTTTGACCCAACTATTTCACATCATTACCAATTGCTTTGTTCGTACATATCCAACTTCCTCCTGGTGCTTTATTGGTTTCTGCTCCTGCTGACCTCTTCCAGCAGTTTACTTTCTAACATCCTGAATGCTTCATCATGACTGTTCAGCACACCTCACCGAGGGCTGAGATTAAAAGTTGAACAAAGAGAAAGAGTGAGCACAACAGGAGAGGAAACAGAAGAGCTTTTGGCAGCAGCCTGGTGACACCCTGGGGGGAGTCAAATGGGATGAGTAACCACCCGAAATAATGGCAGAGGGGAGAAAAAGAGAGAAGAGACTCAAACAGCAGGGCCTGAGTGAGAGAATTAGTAGGAACATCAAGCTGAGAAGGCCAGGGGAGGGGAGGAAAGCAAAGTCTATCTCCATCTCAGATCTCTGTTCCAAAGAGAGGCACTGAGCCCTGTTAAAATAGAAAATGGGACCATTTAGTTTACAACACCAGGCACAGATATCTTGTGTTCACTGTCTGCTGCTCTCCTGGGCTGAAAGTCTGCTTGGCTCTAAGGCATAAGAGCAGTCCTGGGGAATTCTGAAGTGAGGACAGAAAGGGGAGAAGGTGGGAATTAAACAGGGGGAGAGCAGAGAGTGTCAGACCCACCTGCAGTGGTGCAGGGCACTGGTGCAGCACAGCCAGCACAGCACCAGCAATTTCCTCTCTCCATAGGTGACACACAGCTGCATTTGTGTCCCCTCCCTGAGCACAGGGGCTGCAGGGACACAGGGAAAGGCTGAGAGCACATCAGCCTGGCCAGGGCTCACTCTGCCTGAGCCCAGGACCTTCTGCCTCCTCTATCCTGGCAAATCTCAATGAGGTTATGTTTAGGCTGATCAGTACTTGGTGGAGGATAAACATTTCATTTAACACAGGGAGGATGAGATTTGGGAGCCTGGCTCCTTCTGGATAGAGTGACAATGGAAACATTCAGTACTCATGCCAGGAAACATCATAAGATTTATTTAGTGTCAATAAAAGAAAGAAATATTTTGACAAAACCAGAATATTTTACTTGGGTTAATTTTTTTTTAATAATTCCCTATTATATGATAGAAAATTAAAATGTAAAGCCAAATATTGTTGTGTCCCCCTCAAAAAGTTGGCATGGGTTCTTTAGCACAGTCAGGATCTTTCTTGTAGTTTTCTTCCAAAAAGAAGCAGTGTCAAAATGAGTTTGCTGTTATGAAATGTTTCAGTGTTGATGGAAGCACCTAACTAATAGTCAGGGTAGTGTCGCTATCTCTGCTGTTAACATTACAAAGAGCCTGACCCCCAGGTGCTCTCCGAGGTTTTCAACTCAATTTGCAAATTTCAGGCTTTTCTTTAGGTTTACAGTACCATGAAGCAACATGAAGTTCAGTGATGATTGGGTTAGGTTTTGACAAATATGAGAAAAACATTGAGATGTAATGTTAAAGCAGAAGGAACTCCAGGAAAGAGCAACTGGAGGTCTATTTTGTGAACATACTGAATATGTGGCTACAGCTGCAGCATATTCACACTGCATAAAGTCTCTAACAAAAGGCATTATGTAAACTTTGCATTTGAGTAAGAAAAAGAGTATTTGACCTGCATTCTTTTCTCATTAAGTATATTTTTTCTGTGCACATTCTGGTTCTTTTTTTTTTTTTTTTTTAATGCTAATGAAGAATTAAATTGTTACATCTTCAGACTAATGACTCTCATGAAGATTATTTTAGCAATTCCTTCCCAGCCTTTTCAAGTCCTGTTTCATGCTTAGGAGACACAGAGAGTTTAAGCTTCTATGTCTGCCTTTGGTATTTCTACCAAGTGCAGATTTGTGACATGTGCTGCCATGTCCCAGGGTACATAAAGCTTCACTTTGGTGTCCTTGACATCTTTGGTCCTTTTTGTGGCTATCTCATAATTCATGCAAGTGATGCCATACAACTGTAAGTTTTTCATGAGGTCATAAAACTGATTTATAGAGGTTTTCCCATAATCTCCAAGCAAATTAAAGAAGGTTGATGGAGCTATGCAACTCACTGTTACCTCAACAATGGTCTCATTCAGAAATGACACTGAACAAGATTGAGGTATTAAGATATCAAGAATGTCCTTAAGAAGCCTTGTCTGTCTGCAAAAAAAATGTGATGCCTACAAACCAAGAAGGGCTCTTTCTTCTCTACTCTTAGTTGATTTTACCCATGACATCTACCTTAAGATTAGCCAGATAGCTTCTTACTTCACTTTCTCCTTTCAAAAGGAAAAGTCTGATTAAACCAATGCAGATCAGAACTTACAGAAATAATTTGAGGTTAATCTCCTTTGCCTTTTTGAGATATTTGAAGTTTTAGATTATCCCTTTTACAAACAGTGTTTTATTTTGCTTTTCAGCTTTCAAAATAATTTTATAATAAGGGAAATAGTCCAATAAAGGAAAAATTCTAATTCCAAGAATTCCAGTAAAAGAAAATATATTTGTATATATTTATATATATACAAATATATTCATATATAGTTTTATATATTTATATATTTTTTATATATATTTACCTGTATATATTTGCACACACACACACATATATATATATATATATATATATATATACAAACCAGATATATCAAAGTCTATATTTGTATATCTAAAACTGTGGGGGTTTCACATATATAGATATTAAACTATTTAAAATGCACATACATAAAAACTAAACACAAACCTCAAACTCTATTTCCAAACTGTTAAAAGTGGACATTTCAGAATTGTGGGAACTTTATTCTTCCATCTTTATTTCTGAAGCTGTTTGTGAAGTGCTTGCATTTTGACAGAACTATATAGTCCAAGAAAATGAGCTTTCACTAAACTGCCTCCAACTTCAATATATGCCCTGTGTCAAACTCAGAGAGAGCTTCCAACCTCTGTGGCTGGGGCCGAGTGCCAATTACACTGCACCCAATGGCCTATAACTGTCTTTTTTGCTTCTGTGAATATCACTTTTCTAGTTAAAATCTTCAGGACAGCTTGCAAAGTGTCTGCTACTATTGCTCTGGAGTTAAAAGTAACCTTGAAAACATTTCTCCATGGTAGTAATCGAGGTGATTCTTCCATCCCTTCTCAAAAATGGCAGTATATCATTCCTATCTTTCCTCCTCAAACTCTGCCCAGCAGGCTTCTGAAGACCTTTTTAAGGTGGGTGTTATCCTTTTTATTTTCTTCTTATTTGAATATTTCATCTCAGACTTCACAGGGAGATGACTATCTCCCAAGTGCGTGAAACCAGCCAGGAGTGTTTTATACATTGTAAAGCATTTGATGAAATCTGTACTGTGATTATACATAAATAAGTAAAGAAAATCTTTTTTAAATCACCTTTGTATTGGGATGAGTGGGTCTTTACCAAAGAGATCATACAAATTAAGAGAGTTCTAAAGGTGAGAAATTCAGGCCCTTTAAAGAGTATTTGAAATAAAACTGAGGAAGCATAGACATTATAAGTATTAGTTTTATTATTAGAGTGAAGAAATAATTAGAATTATTTCCTGAGTTATTTAAAAGTGCTAATAGAAGTATTGAGCCATATTCTGATCACACAGTTTTGTAAATTGGAAACAACTTAATGATATGAGTTCATTAAAAGGGAGATGGCATCAACCTTGCCATATTCAGGCACTGTACAAAGAGATGTAAGTATTTCAATAAAAGACAGACACATAACAAAACTATAGCTCAAGTCAATACTGCCTTATGGCCAGGGTATTGCAACAGGCTGTAAAAGAAAGTAATGAAATCATTAGATACTGTGTCCTTGCATTCTACTTTCTATTTACATGATAATAACCCGTTATTAATATAATCATCCTTGTTATTGTTCTAGTATTGTGAATTCTTGCCGTTTTCTTGTTATTTTCCTTAAAGCCTCAGATGATCAGGTGATCACCTAGCAAATGTCCAATTTATTTATTTTTTATTTAAATGTAATATCCTAGTTTTCCTAGTTGTGGAAAGAAGTTCAAAAGCACATTTTGAGTGCAGCTCAAATCACCTAATTTTATGTAACTACATCAGATGAGTCAAAGCACAAAATTTATAAAATCCAGGCTCTGGGTGAAGCACAGAAGCTGCCCTGAAGGTCCCAGCATTTAAATGAAACTAACTCCGTTGTCGCCAGTGCCAGTAATTACAATAAGCCTGGCATTTCTTGTTACCCTGTGAAATTACCTGCAAGGCCTTTTCATATTGTCTCCATGCTGTTGTTTTCATGCTCAGCAGAGCATTCAGAGTCAATGATGGGCAGCTCTTGTGTTTGACTGTGAATGGTGGGGGCATTTTGCTTTGGACTCTATAGAAAATCCTCAAGGTGTTTATTGACAAATGCTTCCTACGGGCTGCTGTAATAGAGAATTCTCCTCTCTGCCCGCTCCCCAGTTCCTACAAGGCCAATCTGCTCCACATCTAGGCATGCTGTTGCAAAAAAAATATATTTTTTTCAGTACCCTCCGTAATGTGCCTTCAACAGGAGCTATGGATCAAGCGTGCTCCAGACCAAAGGCACTCAGTCCTCCAGCTCGGAGCTGTGCGCTGCCATTTCCCCTCCATTTGTTTCTATGGAGCTGACTGTGTGTGCGGTCATCCATAAGGGTGCTGAGATACCCTGGAGAGAGGAGGAATAGCTGCAGCTATTTTTCATTATTATATACTTCACTTCGTAATAAATGAGATCCATAGCATGAGAACGCCGCTCTTGTAGATCATCGTATCAGCGAGCACGAGGAACCTTGTGTGCCACAAAGCTAAATAAAATAAAGTAAGTAATCCCAAGAAAAATAGGCTGGGGGGAGAGCACTGAGTGTTCAGGACTGCACAGAACATCCTGTCAGCCTGAGAATGACCTCAGGACTTGCAGCAGCTAGAGAATGGGTAGTTTCAAAGCTAAAGCTGTGGTCTACATGCCTGTCTCATCTCTATCTCTATCTCTATCTCTATCTCTATCTCTATCTCTATCTCTATCTCTATCTCTATCTCTATCATCTCTATCTCTATCTCTATCTCTATCTCTATCTCTATCCATATACAAATGTACAGAAATGTACAGACTTGCACTTCCATTGCCTTGCAGGTGTCTTTGGGGGATAACAGGGACCAACAAACAACTTGTGACCCAAGACGGAAATAGCAGCAGCAGCAACTGGACTCTTCTCCAAACCTTGTGATAGTGGTGAGTGCTGAGCGTCTCTATAAAGTAGGGCAGATCAAATGTGGAATTTTCAGATGAAGTTCATGACAAATCTAGTTTTGCACAACACCCATGGTCTTCAGGTACTTGCTGCAGTGCAACACAGCAGAGCTGGATGGTCCTGCTAAGAGTCCAAAGTGAGTTTCTAACCTGTTAACATTTTGACCAATAACCCAAAGATGTGAGCTATTGAATACCTAGTCTGTGCTAAAAAAAATTATGGATATATATTTTCTGAGTGGCAGTTACAATTCAGGAGAGGAACTTTGGTTTTATTTCCATAGGCCAGTGATGTTTTGGTACCTTCTGCCTTTGCAAAGTGATCCATTTATTGGGAAGTATAAGTAACCCCTAAAGCTGGGTTTGGTGTACAAAAGTGTTAGAAGAAGGCTCCAAAATACCAAAACTTAGTTGTGGAAAACCACATTCAGAATCATAAAAAGAGTGAAAGAATAGAGATAGGATAAAACGCAGCTCTTTTCTGGAGGTGAGGATTCTACCTTACAGTTTATTTGGCATCATAACACTTGTAAAATCACAAACAAAAATTTACACACATACACACACAAACAGAATTCTCCCGCTGTTCTAAAACACAGTGGTTTTCTTCACTGTTTCCTTGGGTGTGAGTTGAGAGGATTCTGGTTTGGTTAAACTTTCTGCCTCTCAGATAAAAAACAGCAGCAATTTTCTGCTTGAATTTCTCTGTGACTAAATCCATTGATCATCCTTTCTCTCAGTGAGTGAGGAGTGTGTTTTCTCTTTAATAACTACTATCCTTCTCCCTGAATATTTTTTTCTCTCCCCTTCACTTGTTTGTGTTGTGTTGGTCAGTCCACTGCACTATTCCTCTGAGAGACAGAGGGAGCGCAAAATTGAAGTTATTTTATGCTTGGTCTCCCTCGGTCCCAATTTTCAAATCTTCATGTCAATTTTCACACATCAGTGTCATATGGCGAATGCTATGGAAATTTCAGTGGGGTCCTTGGGACACAATTTATACATGACCCCCTATTCCCTCCCCCAGACAGGCTGCAGACCCTGCCTTTACAAAGAATAAGTGGATTTATAATTAATGTGGATTTTAAAATATGAGTACATTCGGAAAATTTCCTATTTGTTTGCTTCTGTTGTAGTACTAGTTCAGAGGAATACAAGCTCTCTTTCTCCTTTCCAACCCTAATAAATTGATCAAGTTAATATAAAATTACCTTGTGTTGAAGTAAAGGATCAACTCATTATTAACTTTACTTTTTTTCCCTAAAACTTATGCTGATGAAGGTTTATCAATCAACTAATTTGGTGATCACCAGTTAGCAAATGCACTCACTGCCACCTACTTAGGTGAGCAAAATTGGGAAGAAATGGAACATGGTGAGCTTGGATGGGCAATTATATCTTTTAAACTAATGAATGTACATGGTCTTAAGAGACCTTGGTAAGTGAAATCTTAGATAACAAAGGTTCATCTGACACCAGCAGAGCATTTCAATCATTGACCTTAAAATCGGCCCCTGACATCAGAAAGGGGTACACATCACCTGCTCATTTTATGGTGTTAATTATACTCTCTGTGGGCAATAAAGGGATGGCAAGTTTTCCAGGTTACGTCTCAAAACATCTTAAAACTTAAGCCATTCGTGAAGAGACATAAACTGCACCCAGTCCCCACTCTAGATTTTACTTATAGATGGTACCAAGGCATCACAGGTCCCTGGTTTTATGTGTCACCCGCCAGCAGCACTCAGAGAAAGATTTTCTAAAACAGCCATGAAGTTTTGGATAGTTTATTTTAGTTTGTTCTTATTTTCTTTGACAAAACCAGCAAATAGTAACTGGGAAAACACAATACCTGACTTTAAAAGAGCTCCATCTTCCTTCCCATTATTTGTGGACACTCAGCACCTCTTGCAGGTTCGCTGCTCTACCAAAAAGAAATTTTTTTATCCTTCAATCCCTTACGTATCCTTCACCTCATCTTTGTCTGTCTGACTTTTTTCAATTTTGGAAAACTGTCTTAGGAATTGCAGTAGCAGTAGAATGGTTGAGGGAGTTTTTCCTCTGTAAACGCTGGGGATCAGGTTTGGGCTTTGCAATGCAACATCTCATCCAGGAGCTGTAGAAATCAGAATCACATCATCCCCCAGTTTATTTAGGCTGCTTCAAAGCCAGCTGCAACCTGTACAACAGCACACTGAAACCCTCCACCAAGCTTGCCTTCCCTGGTGATTTTGTGTGCAACCTCTGGATGAGATAGCTCTATTGGAATTGCTGTCCTCCTCCAATGTGGCCAGAGGGAAATGAACTGGATGAGCATTTTCTGTGCCACACAGGGACCAGCCAATGCACTCCACATGTGTGCAGGTAAGAACACACTGCAGTTTGAAGTAACATGACCCTCAGAAGGGCTGCAGAAAATATATTTGTTTGGCACGCTGCCATTTTGCTGCTGGCTTCAATCTTATCACTTCTCCCAGTCTAGGTCAGGGGAAACCCTGCAGAACAATTCAAGAGGGGGAAAAAGAGCATCTGTAGGTCCTGGGGCTGCCTCATCCCTTAAGGTGCTGTTGTTTCTGGAGGCACTACTCAAAATCAGAGTTCCTCTGAGATGCTGAGGGCTGCAGGGATGGTCTTATGTAAAGCTGAAAGCTGTAGGAAATGTTCACTGTGAACCATGTGAAGATCTGTTTTTTGCCTTGCTGGAGAAATTAATCTTGGAACAGTGACCAGGATTGTCCCAGTTTATCCAGGACATGCCCATAGCACATCTCTAACAAGTCTTATGGTGGTGGATGAAGTGCAAACTCAGACAGCTTTGCACCATGCAGTCACAGGACCATCAGTCGAGAGCTGCAAACCTGCTCCACTGAAAATCAGAATTGCCTGTATCTAGGGTTAAATGAGGCATTTTCACTGATGTAGCTGGCAGAAGGATAGAGCCCTCAGCTATATTGTATATATTCGTGTAAAGACAGGTGTAATCCACCAAATTGAGGAAATAGCACATAACTCAGAGAGTGGGCACGTGCCTCTGTGTGTGTGCCTGCACCTGGGTGTGTGAGAGACAGAGGGAGAGATGAGATATATGGGGAAATACATGAGAGATGAGACTGGAGAGATAATTCCCAGAAAATACAGTGACCATCAGAAACTCTGTCTTTCCAGCTGGAGGGTTTTGCAGTGCTGGTGCCTCTTTCTTGACTTGACAGCTCCACTCTTAGCCCAGCTCGTAGTTGCTGCCTATAAATTTAATTAGAATGGGGGTAGGGGAGGAACAAGCCTGCACAGCACTTGGCACAGCTCTGAAAATAACCAGCTTTAATACCTTTGACATTGAAGCACCTGCTAAGGGCACGGGCTGCTGCACAGCTGACCCACCCTGCTCTGGGGACAGCGTGTGTCACTTTGCTTGTCCTCAAAGCGTGCAGCCCACCCATAACCCAGGGGATGAGTGCATGGCTCTGGGGCTGGGCATCTCCTCAAGCACCACAAGGCAGAATTTCACCCTGGAGGCACCAGGGAGGGACCCCAAGCGCCCCTGACCATGTGAAAAAGGCACAGATCAGGCACTGCAGCCTGCCTCTTGTATTTCATTTTTCTCTCTCTGATGTAGTGGGCTATTTTCTGTGTTTGCAACTAAGTGCTGCACTGCAGCCAGCCGTGAACATTTCTGTTGGCCCAGCTGGCCTCTTGTTTTAATGCTGTTCTCAGGGCTCTCCCTGGGTAGAGCGGGGAAGTAAACAGATTGGAACTTTGCCCACACATATATATTTAATTGTGAGCTGATTTTGTGCTAGGGAAATGTAATAGACATATCACTTCAGGCAGACAACTCCCAGCTGAGGCAACAGGTTAGAGATTTTCCCCACTTCTGGAGCTTCCTGAGATGTAGCAGGCCTTATTGATGTAGGGACTCCTTGACAGAAATTGAACCTTTTATACTGCTTCTGATAAGCTCTAGGCAGTGTGGAGGCAATTTTGAGGGATATTTGATCTCTTTCCTATGCATGCTATGGGGATGTGCTTGTGATCATGGCTTTGGGTCATGTTTGGAGATGTCCCAGCTGAGAAAAGAAAGTCCCTGAGCTGCTCTCACAGAGTCCATCAGTGACACAGTGTCAGGATGCAAATGGAACCTGAACCACATCTGACCCTTTTGCCACCATTAAGTGGCACTGATGCTGCTGCTAGAAACACTTTTCTAATGCGTAATTTGATTTTTTTTTTAAATTGTGTTTGAATCTAACCCAATTTTAGTTCAATGCAAGTTAGCCAAATTCAAATCAAGATCAGATTGAATTCCCCTTGAAATCTGAGGGTATTTTCATATCCTCCAGGGAAGGACTCAGTAGACCTGAACTTAATTTGAGGAAAAAAAGGCTTCAAGTGTCTTGACATCATCTTCACAGAACCATGGAATAGGTTTGGGTTGGAAGGGATGCTTAAGCTCATCTAGTCCATGAGCAGACAAACAATGAGCAGAGGGACATCGCATGTCACACTAGACCAGGTTGCTCAAAGCCCTTCAGATCTGACCTTGAATATTCATCACCCGCTTTCTTTTTGGGGGGTATTTCTTTGTATTGCTCTGTCCCAAAGCCCTGGAATCATCTGCATTTGCTCAGACCTGAGGATGAAGCAGCACAGCAGGCTCTGAGCAGGGCACCACGCCAGGCAGAGGGGTGCACACAGCCTTTGCACACACCACGCAAGACCTGAGAGGGCAAGACAAAATCCATTTTAAATATGCAATCGAGTAGTGCAATTTTCAGCCTATTCAGGCTTAGCAAATGCCTTTGAGGGATCAGACTACCAAGCACCATAGCACAGTTGTGACTATGCACCAGCCTGTAATGCAACAGCTCTGATGTGAAGTTATTACCGCAGGCACAGTGTTGATACCTGTGTTAAGCCTCTGAGCATTGCCCAGTGTGAACTATGTGTTTCCACAAGACTGAGCAGACCCAGACAGAGCTGATTGCTCTTGCAGTTAATAAAAAGCACTGCACTTTCTCTCTTGACAATCCCGACACCTGAGTGCTTCCTACGTATGACAGTTAGCACATTCTGGTTGCTCAGTGGCCTGTGAGAAATGAGCCTCTTCTCAATTTAGTTCCTATCATCAGACAAGCAGTACACACAATAAAAAACACACCTTGACAGTCAGCCCCCAAAGTAGCCCTGGGGACTGCAGGTCCGAACTTCCCTTTCTCTCCTACACAAAGCCATAAACCAGACGGAATTTATCGGGCTGGGCTTCCTTCAGGTAAATCAAGGTAACTCCACCAAGGTCAAAGGAGTCGCTCTGGTCAGTGCAGAATGGCCTGGAGGAGGGGAACCTCTGCTGATCCCACCATGTTTCTTATCTAGATGGTGCTTCTCAAGACCCCCTGACTTGCACTGGTGGCCGTGGTTTGACACGAGGTCTCCTCAATCAGAGCAAGGTGAAAGTCCTGCCTCCACCCATGAGCTGAGGAGCTGACCTTCTCACAGCAAAGAGCACCAGCATGGTCCCCTTGCTCAGACTTTCAACACCTACACATTTCCTTCCATCTCATGTCTGTATGGTTTAATGTACAGATAATGGCAGTGTAATCTAACGAACAGTGATATTTGCATTTGTGAAGTTATTATTGCATACGGACATCATGATGTCCTTTATTTCCAGGAGGGTGAGGAAGGCACAGGGCAGAGGGACTGGAGGGCTGGACCAGCAGAGGTTGGATGGTGGCTGCTGCAACAGGCTGTGCTCCAGCCAAGCCCAGCTCATCAGGTCATGTCAAATGGAGCTAATATAAATGTCAGCGTGCTGCTTTCAGTGGTGAAATCTGTGTTTGTTGTACTGCAGTTCATTTTCAGTCTTCCAGCTCTATGGATGCTATCAGCTGACATGTCTGGCTGGTATCCTCTGCCAAAAATACACATACTCTCAACATTTCTCAGGAGTTGGGTTTTTCACCCCCTCCCTGTGACATGCTGATGTCAAATTTCTTCCTGGCTCTGTGATACACAAGACTGTCCACACCTAGCAGATAATGAGTTTAACATTTCAAGGACAGAAGCTCTCAGTCTCAGTGAGACACAGGGTGGATGTGCAGGCCTGATTCGGGGCAGGTGCCAAAGGTGGCAGGGCTCTTTTAAGCTTTTTTGGCATGTTCTTTCTTAAGACAATCCAACCCAACAGAAACAGATGTGTAGAGCTCAGAGTACCATTGGTATTCTAGTCACAGTTAAATACTTTGTTGTTGCTAACAGTAGCTTAAATTCTTCTCCCATTTTTCCTTGCTTTTAGAATAAATTCTGTTCTTCTGAACACCCAGATCTCAGCCTTCTATTTATGCTGCTCTGGTTGACGCCAGGCTCTTCATCATCTCCCCACCCTACAATTTTTTGTTGGCTTCACAAATAAACATTCTTACTCTCTTCCATTCTGCTCCCCCACCTTTCTCTTGGCAACCTTATCTGCATATCCAAACTGAAGCATCCATGCTCTGACAATGACTCACAAGTCTACTCTGGACTTGTTTCTTTTTGTCCAAAACTGAAACTTCTTGCAGTGCCCTTGACTTTTACTCACTTGTGGTGAACTGTCCTCTTAAGCTGACCATGAATTTCCAGTTTCCTCCCTACAAAATCCAGGCACTTTGCCTCTATCCCTTTTTTTTTTCTACTATGACCTGGGACTCATATTTGTTACTAAGGCTCCAAATGTAAGGAATTTTTCAAATGGCTCACCTCCCTCTAATTTATTTCCTACAGAATGTGTCTATGTCTTTCTGAGTTTCAGTTATACCAAACAGAAAAGATGCTGAATTCACTGCTGCTCCACACAAATGAAACACTTGCAGAGGTTTGGAATTACTTGGATTTTATCTGTGGAAACATTCTTTATTTTTCTGGACAAATTGAACCACATGTATGTTTTTCCAAATGACTCTGGAAATGTAATTTCTCCAGCTTATCGGTCTGACCAATGCATTGCTGTTTTGGTTTCCTTCTTGGAAGGAAGATATTTCTCCATGGGAGTCCTTCTGTTTCAACAAATGCAAGTTAATCCTTACTTTGAAGACACTCTTCTGCCTCACTCTTTAACTTGGTTTGATGAGACACTGCTGGTCACAGTCAGGAGAAAGGCAGCCAAGGAGCCAGGATCCTGTCCACCCTCCCAGGCTGGCTAGCTAGGACAAACACAGTGTCTCCTCATGACAGAAAGAAGTCTTCTTCTCTTCCCTGGATGCAGCTGCATTTTATGTTGGTGCATGTTCTCCTGATATTTCTCCTGTTCTTTTCCCAGTTCCTCTTCCCTTGGTTTAGTCTGAGCATTTCCTGGGACAAGAGCAAGATTTTTCATTCCAACAGCACCAAGCACAACAGCTCCCAAACCTCCCTAACCTGTGAGATGCCTCATGCAATGCTGGTAATCAATAACATCAATTAGAAAATGGTTATTAAATGGCAGTAGGGGAGCAGAATGGGGCAGGAACCAGAAAGTTCCAAACTATGAACTTGAGACACCTATGCTTTGACCTTGATAACTGGTGGATCAAATAGGAGTTGGATTTCCATGGGGGTCCCTTCCCAGTAGGGATATTCTACAATTCTGTGGTTGTTGCACTGATGTTGGCAGAAATGTATGGTCCAGAACCAGGACCAGAATCCATTCCTCTGGCCAGCAATGCTTTTATTTTGGCAGGCCAGCATCATTCCAGCCACCAGCACAAGGCAGAAACATGCACACACAGAGCACCCTCCTGCCCAGGGCACCCTTCAGCCATCCATCCCACCTCACCTGCTGACACAACCCTTCAGCACCCACCAAAACCAAATGCACCTAATTGGGAGGTGATGACAGCCAGGGGATTGTTGGATTTGCATGCTGATTTCTCTGTTTTAGCATCACACAGCCTAAGTACAGGTAAAAGGAGACTAAGCGCTTCATTCCAGAAGTGCTCTTCATTCCACTCCATTCCATTTCCTGCCTGGTCCACAGTAAACATGCATACACACACACACCCACACACCTTTTCTCTCTTGGGCTGTCCTGAAGCCAAAAATCAGCTGGAGATTGCATTACATGGGCTTTCCAAAAGGCTGGCCAATAACTTCAAGGGGCAACATGTTTGTTTTATTTTTTCCTCTTGCTAGGACAGGGCTGTAAACTGCAACTGTAGATGGGTCTTTAGAAGTCACAGCAACCCAGCTCACATGAGGAGAACAGCTCTTTCCACAGGCTGGGTTACAGCTTCCTCATGCTTTTTATGCCAGGGCTTAGGATGGATTCCTGGCTCTTGTATCACATGATGCTGTTCAAGTTCTGTTTCGAGTACCCAACCTCCTCCCCTGTTCCACCACTGGCATCTGCCCCTGCTCTAAGTCTACCAATTATTTCCTTTAAGTGTCAGCAGCACACCAGACACACTGAGATATAACCTTTCTCCTAGTTGATGCTGTTAAACTATTACTTGAAACTGAAGTTGCAGTTGACAAGTGCTACTTCAGCCACTAATAACTACTTCAGGCGTGCTCGTGGTGTCTTGGCTCTTAATGCTGAGGCTCAGGGCTCAGGGAGTGTCTTTACAGGTCACTTGGAGCCATCCATCTGATCTGAAACAAGATCAGTCAATCTCTCCTCTGGCTCTGTGCCTTGCTTGCCAGAGGTTCTGTCTCCATCCCCCCAGGGCTGCAGCAAGGGCATATCTGGCATTTTTGGGTGGATTTAGGGGCTGCCCAGGTTCCAGAAGATCCCACTTTGGGATGTGCCTGTGAGCCACAAGCTGAGTTTTTTTGTTTGCAGCCAAAGAAAAGTGTGGGCTCCAATTCTTTGAGGTTGAATAAAGTCTTTTTAGAGGAGAAATATCTCCTTTATTTTCCTGCATAAAAATTTACTTTCTATTTTAATCTTCTCTTTTTTAAATTTCTTTTTGCAAGTAGGTTCTGTGTTCGACACCTTCCTGAGAAAAACAGGATTTCTGCATGGAAGGAGGATGAGTACTCAGACACACACCTGAATTCTGCAGCAGCAGGTAAGGAATAGCTTTCCTTTCATTTCCCACTTCCCCATTTTTAGGCTCAACTCCTTCAGTCTAATAAAAGCATCTGAGGTATCAGACACAGAAGATTCACAACTTGGCAGAGGTCACAAATATTTCCTTTATGTTTTGGCAGGGGTTTGGCACAGTCTGAGGATAAATTTTGAGCAGGGTAATATATAAGGAAAGGGCAGCTCATCAGGGCCTTGTGCCCTGTTACTGTGGAGAATCCTCTAAGAGATGCTAAACCCAGAACAGCCTCCACTTTTCCTTTGTCTCCTGCATATAAGAAGCTACAATGTGGTATAACAAACTAGGTCTGGCTTTTCAATAGAAAAAAGATATGTCAGGCTTTAAGTCTCCTTGACATGACAACATCTTCATCTAAATCGTGAAGCCATCCTTTGGATAGCCCAGCCTTGGTCTAATGTCTTTTAGAAAATGATGCTCATTTAATTCCTGAAATGTGAAATCTAGGTCTCAGGTCAAGAGCATAGATGCTGTTTAGCTAAAAATTTAGATCCATCAGACTGTCTGCAAGAGTCTGCAACTTTTCAAACTTTAGATTGCAGCTAGACTCTTACTGCTATATATAGTCTTTTGAAGAGTAGCATCTAAATAAAAATATCCTTGAAGTACAGGGCACTTTTTATGCTCCCACCCTCACAATTTTTTAGGAAACAAAAGACTTCTTCAGGGCCACAACTTGTCTGCAAAGAACAAATAGCCAGACCTCAGCTAAAAGTTTATTCCTTTTTCCCCTCTATATCCAGCCCTGAATTCTTCCCTCAGGCAGGATTTTGACGGCACTTGATGGGAGAATCCCCTAAGACAGGCAGGGTCAGATCACACAGATGAAGGGACTTGACAATATGGGAGATATGGAAGCACCTCAGCCAGAGCAGGGCAGCTACTCCATGGGAAAATAAACCAAGTTCTTATCTTAGTAATTGTAAGGACAAATTAAATCTAGTACCAAGCAATCAGGTCTCACCCCTTCACTGTTACAAGATGACAGACCTCCAGCCAAGCCACATATCCTTTGGTACTGGAGTGATCAGCTGAATCTCTTGCCAGGCAGATTTCTAATTCTCATAAGATGTTTTGGTTATGGGCAGGATATTTCTACAACACAGGGAAATTTTAATCCTCAGTGGGAAACACAGCTGGGCCAAAGGAAAGCCTGTGTGGCATCTGTATCTAGAACAGATCACACACATATATAAGCTTCCAGAAGGCAACAGAAACTCCATTCATATGGCAATTGTGTCTTTATATCCTCTCTATGTGTATGAATTTATGGTTGTATGAACAGCCATATCCAGTTATTGAAGTATTTGATGATCCAAAGTGCTCAAGGCCTTCTTATTCCATCTCATTCACAGTTAAAGTTCTGCACAACCTTTTTACTGGCTTTCAGCCTGCCATAAATACAAATGACTTGCCAATAAAAGCTGGTATCTCCCTCTGTCAGGAGGACTATAGCATCGTTGTTATTTAAGAGGTGGCAGTTTTGACACAATTCTTATTTAAAATTTGTAAAAGGAAAAAAGATGATGCAATAAATCTGCATGTTCTTCCTAAGCAGCCATTGAAAGTGGATGCTCTTCCCCTTTCCAACAGCATCAGCCGTTTAATGTTCCTAAGTTGTTTTTGCATGAATTAGGGCGTTGGAGTGAAGCACTGTCAGTTACAAAACCACGCTGTTGTCTCCAGCTAATTTTGCGTTAGTAGCTCTTTTAAACTGCTAAATCTAGTTTTTAGTGTATGATCATTCTGTTTAGTGATGGTGTAAAACAGCTGCTACTTTTCTGATGAGTTGCCTGTTTTCCATTTTATGTCTCTGCAAGATGTTGGGTTTCATCATGGCCCCGTCTGACAGGCAGCTGAGAACAACCTGTAAAAAACCTCCAAAAAACAACAGAAAGCAAAGAACCCCTAATCCAGGGGTCCAGCTACCCACACCAAATTTCAGAGTGATCTTCTGTCTTTACTAGCACCCTCAGACCATCTCAATTCTAAACTAGGATGATGTAAATGAGGAGAGCAGAGTGAGCAGGAAAGCAGGAATCTTGCTGCTCTGAACACCCCCAGACTGTTTCTGGGGGGCTGGTTCAGATTAGGATGGCTGTGCTTTTTCTGTCCTTACTGCTCATGCTGCTGGTCCCTGCTCTCTGCCTGGTTATGGCCAGAAGGCTGAAATTATGGCTTGGATGAAATTATGGCTTGGGGTGTCTTTCCAAAGTAATTAATCACTCTGCTTTCCTCGGGTGCTGCTTGCAACTACTGCTTCTTGAGTGTTGTTTTGCCACTGAATTGCTTGGGTGCCAAACTCTTCCCAGTGGCCATCAGAAGGGAGCAAGGGCCAGACTGTTCATGACTTAGTTACCCCTCACTAACATTTCAAGGGGTATCTCTAAAGCAAAATCCCCATCACCTTTGTGAAAGGTGTTTTGCATTTGGTGTTCACCAGAGGTTTTCATCAGGAAACACTTAGTGGTCACCCCGTAGATATTTGCTGCTCACTTTCCCAACCAGGCAAACAGCCCTGCTTCATTCAGTGGCAGAAAGCTGAATGGTTCTCTTTGATCTTACCTTATCCCCTGTATCCTGTGGGCTGGCATTTGTTCCATGTGTTCCAAGCAAGAAAATGACAAAACTCATAAGGGAAGCACTCAGAGAGCTTCTCAAAGAGGTGAAGACCAAGATCTTTCCAATAATAACCCACACTCCATAAAAAGATCTTAGATTCTGGATAGCCAAATTGGAAGCAGCTTGCCTCCCTGGTTCTTCCTTCCTTTTGCACTTACTCTCCTCCTCAGCACAACTCAGGCTTTTCCAAAAGCAGTGCAGCCCATTGAACAGCGGTGGTCTAAACTGTTATGGAGATCTTAAACTGCTGAATTGTTACAAGCTGAAATTGATTGCAACTGAAACTGTGAACTGAAGTGCTGGAAACAGCACAAAGAGAAGTGGGGAAAGGGTACGAAAGATCTTGCTTTATTATTTTGGATTTTTTTCCTCTTTTGTAAGAATTCTGAACAATTTGGCCTTGATGAGTTCTGCATCTCTCTCAATAGCCACTGGTATTTTCCTGGTATTTTCAACATAAAAGGTATTCTTGGTTTGTCTTCCAATTTGCTGGTCACGGTGTAATTTCTAAAGAATTCTAAAAGTCTGCTTCAAAGTCAGATCCAGAGGGAAAATCTATGATGCCAGATCCAGAGGGAAAAATACTATTAAATTTACTGCTCCTCAAGCTAAAACCCCCTTTTTCAGCTTTCCAAAACTAAAACTCTTCTTAGCCTGCTTCACTCTACTCTGCCTTGATTTTATTTGCACCCTCATCACGAGAGCATCTGAACACCTCCGAGTAGTACATTAAGCAATGTGAGTAACATCTGTCACGTACGGTTTGCTCACTGTCTCTCAGCATCCTTAAAAATGAATTTACTGCTTCTGCAGGATCAATAGTGCTGGAGACAGACAGTCTCTGTTCAGCCTCAGAGCTGGCACAGTTTAGGTGAGAACCTTGTGATGGTTCCCCCAGCCTGATGTCCCTTTGTCCCCCAAGCGCCAGCTCATACACTGGGGAGCACCCATGGAAAAGCTGCTCTGCACCAAGGTTGTTTCCAGTGGGACAGAGAAGTCCAGGTAATTTGGGGAAATCAGATGAGGTTGTCAATGTTTCCCTGCTCTCAGTTGCATGTGTATGGTCTTGGGGGCCTGCAGCACTCAGTAGCCCAGATGGATTCAGCATCACTGATTTTTCAAGGTTTTCTGCCTTCCTCAGGTGGCTTTGCTTATTTTTTGTCATCAATTACAACTTATTGATGGACAAGGAATGTTGCTGTTTCTCACCATCAAAAACTTCTCTGCCAGATTTCTTTGACAGAAACAGTGTTCTCAGCCACTGAAATCAGGTCAGTAAATGTCTCTTGCTGAACAGAGCTGGGAACCCTCTCCTCTGGAGCCAGCACCACAAGCAAGATCTGAGCATCCTGGGGCGCTGTAATTTCAAGCAATATGTTTTCTTAATGGGCCAAATATGCTTTGCTTAATTTTGCTTTCAGTGCATGGGATTGTTATTGCTCAGTGGCCCCACACAGGTGTTTAAGCAGTTTTGTGGCAGGATTTTCCAGTAGCAGCATGAGGTTTTATTGACTGTTACCTCAGGAGTAACTTCAGAGGAAATGACATCCCCAGCTGGTTGTGATGGATGCATGTGGAGCTGTGGCAGAAAACTCAGGAGCCAGTGACCTCTCTGTCATTGTCTATCATATTTTGGGTGAGAATGCAAAGCAACTGTAAAAGGACACTGCTTTTCATGCAGTGAGAAGAGTTAGGAGAGATGAAGTTACTAAATTACTTGTTTTCCCTGAAAACTGTCGGCTTGTCAGCTCTGATAACATGAACATACTGAGGATAGGTCAATAAGCAAAATAAGTTCCATATTTTGTGAAGATTCTAGGTTGTAGGGTTTAATTTGGTCTATGAGTGTGGATTAAATGGTAGACTAGGGGAATCTGGTCTCTGTGTGGTAACCTAAATTATAAATTACACAGCTTTTGACACATGAGAGACATCTGACCCACAACTTGCCCTTGTTCCAGTTCCATAGTAGGTCAAAACCCAGGTGAACACCACTAATTTCTCCTCAGTGCCACCAGCCTGTACCTTGCCATCCATAAAAAGCAAACCCATGTACCTGGCAGGAAACCCAGCAGGACCCACCCAGGACATATTCCAGAGCCTGCTTCTCTGGGTAATATCTGAGACTGTGCTCCACTGTTAGCAGCAATGGAAACAGGAGCTATCTGATCAAGACAGATAAATACATCTATTTCAGAATACATAATCTTACCACATATGTGAAGTAGTTTAATCATTAGCAAGTTGTCAAGCTTTTATTGAATGGAATTAGCCTCTTTATTTCTGGTCAGGATCAATCTTTTTTTCCCCTTCCCAGTACAATGAATGCTTATATGTTACAT